TATCTTGATTACATACTCTAATCAGGGAGGACATATGCATCCATACCTTTCTTGGGTAACTTTCTTGTGTACCTACTCACTTTTGTTAGTTATTTTAGTGCTATTGCACAGATATGCAGTATCATTACCTTTTGTACCTATAATTTCTTAAATTACAGTAGATCGAATCTCTACCTAATTGGTTTTTAAGTTCACCATTTGACCTTCTTACAATGAATTCTTTATTTTGATTTCTATTAATTGGTTGGGTTTCATAATCATAGATTTTTCCCACCCTCAAAGCTGCTTATATATTACTTGAGGTCTATCATGTTTTGTAATTTCTGCTCACTGTATACTTTTGATTCACAATCCCTTTCCATTAAAATATTATAAATGTTGGTCCAATGTCTTTGACATTGATACTTAAAGCCAACTTGCTCCCTCCTGAGCCACCTCCTCCCCATTTTAGGTGATTTTGATTTTGTTGTCCAGATGCTGAAGAATTCCTCCCCCCACTCTGAAACCCTTTGAAGCTCAATAATGTAACTAGCCTTTGCTATCAACTTGAATTTATTTATTTCGCCACAAACCTACACTTTTAGTTTCCCAATTCAAGAGAAAGCTCTTATACATTGCCGGTTCTACTGGGGAATCTTGACTATTTGTACATTGTCCTTGATGCCTTCTATAGCTAGTTCCTTCTCATTCACTGGTTTATTTTTGTTTTTTTTCTTCTGCATTTGCTGTGTTTTGTGTATGTTCCTCTAATGTAATGAATTGTCAGTAGTATTAAATCAGTTTCTTGCTATATGTTACTTTTGAATTCGCTTTATATGGATCTTATTTCGATTGCCAATTAGTTTTCTTTGAGCTACATCTCCCTCTGTGAATTTAACATTCCATCTTTCAACTCTTTTTATAAAAGCGTATTCCTCTGAAGTGATTTTACTATAGGGTGTGCACTGCTGGGCTGTTGTTTTAGCTTTGTTTGTTGGTTTTTAATCTTCCCTATGAGAAGAGGGTCTAGCTTTTTCTCTTTGCCTTGATAGGGTTTGAATGATTTCTTAACCCTTCCATAGCATCTCAAACCAATGTGCTTTCCCTTCAGCTATATGATGAGGCCAGCGTGCCGACTTTTCTGGAATGTGAGACAATGGCAGGGTCTCAGGCTCACCTTAGGGGTTGAGGGAAGAAAGCTCATCGGCAGGTTCTTCTGACTGTGTTAGACTATCTAAACTCTCTCCTGAGATTTTGTTTTGTGTTCTCTTGTCAGATCCACAGCACATCCTGCGGTGGATAGAACATCTTCCCTACAGCCGGTGTTGCCTTTGGACCCAGCCTGCCCAGGTGTTCATTTTCTCTATTTCATACATCTCTCCTAACAACTGTAGATTCAGAAGAAGAAAACGATAGCTGATAACTACTCAGTTTGCCTCACTCTATATTTGGGGGTATTAGTAGGTGTTAGTATTTTGTAAAATACTAATACTACTTTTGCAAAATTAGTATTAGGTATTAATGTTTGTAAAATCACTAGTATAAATTCTTGGGGGGAGATTGGGGGTTGGTTAGAAATGAAGCTTTGCTAAGCACCTTTTGGCTCCAAAATGTTCACTTGGGAACGTTTTATGTTTATTATTTAGTTGTTGTGGTAACAAAACAACAACAAAAACATTATTTTGGTGTGCTCTTACTATTTTTTCCCCTTTCTCTTGTTAGATACCAGAAAGAAGAAGTCAGTCAGAACTTCAATCTTCCATGACCCCAGGTAATTTTTAATTTGCTCTATGTGGTTTACTATAACTTTGGCTTGGATGAAATGTTTTAAAGAGACTTGTCTCAGGACCTCGTTTTTTTTAAGGGTGGAGTAATGTTCCATTGAATGAATGCGCTACGTTTTGTTTCTCTAACCAACTGCGGATGGCCATTTGCCTTGTCTCCACCTGTTGGCTGTTGGGAACGGTGCTGCAGTGAAGAGTGAGGTACTGACAGTGAGCTGTGCCGGCCTGTGTTACTGTTTTCCAGTGTCTAGGATTGTGATTGCTGGGTTCCATGGTGGTTTTATATTTAACTTTTTAAACAATGTCATCTGTTTTGAGCTGCACATGTACTGTTTTTCATCCTTACCAGCAATGGGTGAGGATTCCAATTTCTCTTTATCTTCATTGATAGTTATTATTTTCTGGTTTATTTTAAATGAAGTGTCTTTTTTTTTTTTTTTTTAAGAATTCCTTGTTTTTATTTTATTAAAAGATCATTTTATTGGAGGCTCTTACAGCTCTTATAACAATCCATACATCAATTGTATCAAGCATATTTGTACATATGCGGCCATCATTATTTTCTAAACATTGACTTTCTATTTGAGCCCTTGGTGTCAGCTCCTCCTTTTTTCCCTCCCTCCTTCCCTCCCCCCACCCTTGTGACACCTTGTGAAGTGTCATCTTATTGTGGTTTTGATCTAGCTCCCTTAATGGCTAATGAAGTTGAGCATCTTTCCATGTCATTGGCGGGCATTTGCATATCCTCTTTGTGAAATGAAGGTGCTTGGCTATGTAGTGGATTACAAGTGGGGTTGCTCACAGAGAGCTAAGCCCTTTGACCGGCTGCTCCCTGCAAGGCGGCCGAGGCTTTTTGCTCACATGAAGATTGACAGCCTTGGGAAAGGGTCTGATTGATTTGGAATCAACTTGAAGGCACCACGTTTTGAGTTTTGTGAAATGTTTATTCAAGTTCGATACCCAAATGTTGATGGACTTGTTTGCCTTTTTCACAGTGCGCTGTAGGGGTTCTTTGCGGATACTGCTTACTGAGGCCTGAGCTGATACGCGGTTCTCTGACACTTTGTTCTGTTCAAAAGGTTGTCTCTTCTTCCCTTTGTGGATAAAATGCTTTGATACTTTTAGTTTTGTTGAGCTTTCATTTGCTCTTTTTTGTCTTTTGCTGCTGTGTATTAAAGAATCTGTTGTTGGAGGCTGGGCTCTGAAGCATTAGCCCCATGGTGTCGTCTAAGAGTTTCATGCTACATGTCCTAAAGGGGATGAATCTTGATAATACGAGTGCTGGGTGAAATCAGAAAAGGGCTACTATGAAATACCTAGAATAGACAAATGTGTAGCGATTAGCGTTTAATTATGATTGCCAGGGTCAGGACCAGAGTTGGTTATTGTGTAGGTAGCACTGTATTTTGATTTATCAAAATGGGAAATTTGACAAGGGAAATTGGTGATGCTTGTACAGCATGATTGATGTGATGGGTTTTACTGAATTTTCCATTGGGCAAAAATGTTGAATTAGCTCGGTCCTCGGTATTTTCATGGCAACGACAAGGAAGCAGCAGCTTGAAGAAGACACCGGAATATAACAAGACAGCAGTTACAGAAGTAAGTTATTTTAAAATTATCTTCATGTCTAAACACTGAATGGCACATGTTTTTAAATGTTTGGGAACAAATGTGTTGACAAAACAGTGAATTCTGTTAAATAGAAAACTGCATTTTTGTTTGGCAAACTTAAGGAGTTTGTGTGTATGTGTGTTTGTGCACACGCATGTGTGTCATATGCTTAAAAAGTCCAACTCTTTTTTCTGGGAGGAAAACCGATCCAATTAGTAGGGACTTTGGAAGATCAAAGTAAAACCAGGAATCCTACATTTTACACAATCTTAGATCGCCCACAAAAGTGTCAAGTGTGGTTGGATTTTCTTTTGGGAGTGTGGGGCGGGGACACATCATCTCTTCTAGAGCCCAGAAGTGGTTAGACTAACCTGTGAGCACTCAACAAAAAAAGTCAATGCAGATAGTTGGTGAATCCCCTAGAAGAGAGAGACTGGTGCTCAGCCTTGTGAGACTGTCATCTCTACGTGTGCACATTAATATGTTTAAAGGCACCGTGCGCACACAGTAGGACTAGTTAGCTGAAGGAAGCTTAGCAATGGACCCAGGAATGATCCCTTTCTCCCTCTCCTAGATCGCTCCCTGCTTCCTGGCACAGCCCTCACCACATTTGCGGTCATTCCAGCGCCAACGGCCCGCGTGACCCTGATGTTAACACATGAGTTTCACCTGACTCCTTTTCCTGACTACGTGTCCTTTGGGTCAATTTTCAAATTCTAGTGAAGGTCTGCTCGTATGAAAAAATGTATACAGATTTTACGTCTGTCTGAGCTTTTCACAGTGGTTTTGCCTGGTAACGGGCAGCTTCTGATCATCACGTGGTTTTCCCTGACGACAGGGAAAATGGAGATTGTTATGCCAACCTGAATCGTTCCAGTCCGTGTGACAATTCTATTGCTCATTTCAACTGACTTGCATGCATAGTGATGTTTACCGTGGGGACTGCGTACGCTTCAGTGGGGGTGAGTGAGTCCGGGGCGGGAGGGGTGGGGGGACTGATAACCCCGTCAGGGAAGACTCAGCCAGCCTTCTCTGAGGGACCCCGACTCTCCTTCTGTCTTGCCTTTCTCGCTATTTAACTTGCCACCAAACACAGCTAGCTATTTGGGTAATGCATCTGTAGTAAAATATATTAACACCAGGTAAAAATTTAAAATTCCCTGGCGAAAATTCCGTGGAAACAAAATCCTTTTTGGATTTCCTTGGTCCCTGGTTCGATGTTCTGGAGTAGGAATCACGGCACAGGGAAACCGAGGTGAGTTGGAAGCTCATTTTTAAGTTAAGGACTTAGGTCTCCTAACGTGAAGCCTGACATGTTCCATTTCCTGTCCAATCGTCAGTAGAAGCAAAAGGAGCCTGGGTGCGGAACTTCAGAGAAGACGCAAAGGTTAAAGCGCTCCCTTGTCAATTTCCTTTGATGTTTCAACTAGGTCTCCATAGTGTCTTGCTTGCCTCAGAACAATCTGTTGGGTTTTTAAAAATCCAAACCATTTGGGGGCATATATTTTATGTATAATACAATTCAATAGTTTAAATATCTTTAAAAGAGTTGTGCAATCACTTCCATAATCAAATCTTTGGTAATTTTCCTCACTCTTGAATCCATTGTCATTAGCTCCCTATTGCCTGTACCCCCATCCCAACCCTGTCACCCCAACCTCTTGGGTCATAGCCTTAGGATCTAGTAAACGAGTTAATTCTCTAAAGGTTTACCTATCCTGGATTTCATATAAAGAAAATCGTACCAAAAAGAAAACAAGACACAAAACCCCACCCCATCAGTGACAAGATAAAATACAGATAAACTTCAATCCAGAAGAAGGCAGAAAATAAAACATATCAGAATCAGCTAAAAATGGGCCCAGAGTGAAAACAAATACTAGTAAGATCTTCAATCTTAAGCTGACTTCTTCCATCTGCAGTCATTCGTTTCTAATGCCCTCTGTGTGAGGACCAGGCTATTTGTGTATCTCGTCAATGGTCCAAGGGAGAGCAGGGGAAATTGGTCTATGTGGGGACTCTGCACATGACTTTTGGGCTAACCCTGTTCTTTTAGAAAAAACAAGAAAACGTGACAAAAAGCTCCAAAGCCAGGTTTGGGGCCTCAACATTTTGGCCATTTTAGAAGGTGGAGAAGGGGGATTCATCAGCTGCTGGGTGACTTTTAAGACCACTGTTCAGATTTGGAGAGGGATTTTAAAAATGGTTGTACAACACGAAGAGTCTAATTAATGCCACTGAATTATCTGTGTAGAAGTTAAATTGAATTGGAGAATGTTTTGCATATATTTTTGCCACAAATGGAAAAAATAGCTACATGAATAACAATGAGTACAAGGAAGAAGAACATGTTCTAAAATTGATTGGGGTAATAATTATACAACTCTTCTCTATATGATTGAATTATTGAATTGCATGTGGATGAAGTGCCAATAAAGCTGTTAAAAAAGAAAAAAGACTATCAGTTCATGTAAGCCAAATCCCACTTGTAGAATGAAAGAAACCTTTTTCTCTAACGAGATCATGACTGACGGTTTAATCAAGAAGGTGGTTGAAGCATTGAACTTATTAAAAGAAACCATAAAACAACCAATGAATAGGTACCTACAGAATTTCATATTCAATGAAGACATCTAACTGTATTTACATTCTGATATGTAGGGGCCAGGCATTTTGTTTTGTTTTGTTTGTTTGTTCTTTAGTGCAACTCTACCCACTGGTCCTGCCTCACCCTTCTTGATTAGACAGCACCTAGAAAGTGGCGTCTTTACTGTCCACATTTTTTCTTTCATGGAAGTCCCAATGTTAGCACTGTCTCTCACACACGTGTGGGTAGACTCCATCAAGATTTTTCTTACTTTTCTTCTCAATTGGTGGGCATCCACATCAGCTTTCTCAGGTGAATTGCCTTCAGAAAAAATGCCTCGTAGTGTCCACAGAAACCTTCGGCTTTCTTAGGCCTGTATTTTAAGGTTGGTATGACAGCAAATCCAATGCGCTGTAACTAAAGCACCACAGGTTGGCTGGGCTGGCTTTTGACAAATGGGAAACTGTTTTTCACGGCGGTGACAGAGTGACTCAACAGTGCTAAGCGTGCAGAGTGCTCTGGGGGTCAGCCAGCAGGAACAGCAGTGGCTATCAGCCAGTCCAGCTGCTCGGCAAGGGTGAGGTCAGATAAGCTCACTTCTCCTCTGTGGGCCTTAAAGGTCACCTACTCGAAGCTTCCCTCCCTCCAGAAATCAGACAGTGGGACCCTAGAGAGGGCGAGAACCTGCCACGGGTCACAGAGAAAGAGAGCTGCTATTGATGCCTTAGTGTCCTGACTTGAGTGTGTTTTTAAATTTAAATAATACATAATTTATTTCTGTAAAGA